GGTAAAGAAGATGTGGTAAATTCACACAACGGAACATTACTCAGCCATAAAAAGGAATGAAATCTTGCCATTCACAACAATATGAATTGACCTAGAGGGTGTTATGCTAAGTGAAATAAGTCAGACAGAGAAAGACAAATGCTGTATGATTTCATTTACATGTAGAATCCAAAGAATGAAACAAATGAACAAACAAAATAGAAACACACTCATAGAGAACAAAATGATGGTGTTGGCTGGAGTGGGGGAGAGGTGGTGGTGGTGGTGACAGACCAAACTGGTGAAGAAGATTAAGAGGTACAATATTCCAGTTATAAAATAAACACAGGAAGTAATGTACAGCATAGGGAATATAGTTAATAATATTGTAAGAACTCTGTATAGTGACAGACGATAATGAGATACTGTAGTGACCATTTTGTAATGTATATAAATAGTAAATCACTGTTATACACCTGAACTAGTACAACACTGTATGTCAATTATTCTTCAATAAAAAAAATCCTAAAAAATTAAATTAAATTAAAAAAATAAGGTAAAATAATAAAAATTTAAAAGGCAAAAAAAAAAAGATAAAATTGAGGACAGTAGTATTTCTGATGGGGAGGTAAAATTTTACCTCTACCATCTTAGAGTCTCGAGCTGGGCCTGAGAATTAAACTGACTAGTTAAAAGACAGATTAACAGGAGAAAAGCATACAAATCTTATAAAATACCTAAGATATATGGCAAACATAAAGGAAAATAGGAATTATTTTAACAAGGTCTCTTTGTACAGAATACTCAGTCTCGACTCCTGACTTTGGTGATAAGAATGTTTGCTCCCTGCACAGGGAGGGCATCTTTCATTTGGAAGGTCAGAGCAGCCTTCTTTGTACCTGCTGTTTTTCAAGTGCCTTTAGCTAAAAATAATCCTTACGCCACAGTGGCATATCCTTAGGTGGCATATTCTGCCACTCTTCGATAGTATTCTAGGTTCTCACATTGTTCTTACATTAGGTGATCCATTCATAGAAATTCGTGACTTATATATGTGATACATAGGTTCTTTTGCGTGTATTTTAATGTATATGAAAAACATATTTTTAAAATATAAAACAGGGGAGCCTGGGTGGCTCAGATGGTTAAGCAGCTGCCTTCAGCTCAGGTCATGATCCCGGGGTCCTGGGATCAAGCCCCACATCGGGCTCCCTCCTCCGCGGAGAGCCTGCTTCTCCCTCTGCCTCTCTCTTGCTCATGAATAAATAAATAAAAATCTTTAAAAATAAAAATATAAAATAATACTATATTACCTCTGAGCCAAACATACAATAACCAAGAAATATTAACTATATTCAATGTGAGGGGAAAGTTCCTACATAATAGAATTCAATCATGGTCTGTATAAAATAGGACCTATTTTTTAAGGATAAAAAGGAACCTGAGGAAATAGATAAAAATGTTCACAACTTCTAGGTGATGAGAGGCAGAGTTAACTTTTTCTGGATCTTCATATTTATCTGTACTTTCAAATCTTCTGCATTAAGCATGCTTAAATTACTAAGAGTGACAACAGAACCAAATAGAATAGTCAATAAATACAATGTCTCATGCACATTATGCGCTTAAATATCTGTCATAATATAAAGAAAAATAAATATCTCATTTTTTAAATATTATCAAACTACTAAATTGCTTTGCTGCACCATTTTATCCCAGCAAAGTCACTCGAAGACCAAGACAGGATATATTCTAAAGGTCCCTTGTGTACCTCTGCATGGCTTATTAATAGTTTAGCTAATTTCTCATTTGGTTAGTTAGCATGTCCCAAAGATACTGCAGAAACACAGCAGTCGGACTAAATACCTACTCAATTTTTCATTTAATCTCTCTGGGCCTATGAACTATAAAGCCCCAACAGTTCTGCTATAAAGAATAATGGAGATATCACAAAAACAATCTGTACTCTGTAAAGGGCAAGGCAGTTGAGAGCTGCTTGTGTCATCCTATACATCTGAGTATCTTGGGGGTATCATCAGGTTTGTAACCCCAGTGACTATCAAAGAGTTTCTGAAACAAAAAAGAGGTTCAATAATGGCTTCTTAAATAGATTTTTTAAATGTGCCTTCCTCCTCCCCCACCCAATGGTAGCCCTATCACTTCTGTTTTATAGATTATAAACCTCCAACGACTAAGATGGTTTTTGATAAAAATCAAAACTACTCTTAAAATTCAGCTCTGGGTAAGCTTTTCTTCTGTCTCATGTGTGTTACATCTTCCTAACAATACTCTGTGTTTATCCACAAGCAGAAACTGTATTAACTTGTTTTGGGTTCAGCATAATACAATGTTTGGCAAATTAAGCATTTTAATACACAACAGGGATTCTTTATTTCTTGTTCCACAGTGAAAGCTCAATAGCTTTCAGGAAGAGTTGGCAGAAATTACCCTAAATACATAAAACTGCTGGTGATACTACCGTAGGCAATTTGATGATAAGCCACTCTTTGTGTTATAAAAGCATGAACATAGCAACATGCTTTGTTCATAATTTCAGGCTGACGTAATCCTAAAGTTGAAGTGTATGATTTGTGACAAATGGACCTGAGTCAAGGACAAGATTTCCTTGATGAATAGGCTTTACTGAGTTAGTCACAGAGGGAGTAAATATACACAATTCAGTAATAGGGCTTATCTTCAGGATTTTTAAGGGCAGGCTTCCCATGACCACTCACATTCCAACCCAGTTTGTGCTTTTTTTTTTTTAAAGATTTTATTTATTTATTTGACAGAGAGAGACACAGCGAGAGAGGGAACACAAGCAGGGGGAGTGGGAGAGGGAGAAGCAGGCTTCCCGCCGAGCAGGGAGCCCGACGCGGGGCTCGATCCCAGGACCCAGAATCATGACCTGAGCCGAAGGCAGACGCTTCACGATGGAGCCACCCAGGCGCCCCCAGTCTGTGCTTTCCATAGCTGAACCATGGCATAAGTATTAGGCATTTTCTAAACTGCTGATAAACTGATGGAGATGCTTGGTTGAAGGTAATTTTAAAGGTTAAAGGTTATAGGCCAAATTTATTTTTCAACAGATATTACACTTTGTTTTTCTTCAACACCGTTTACACAAGAGTAGCCCTTCATATTTTTTTCTTCTCCAACACACATGCCACATGACATTTAAATGCACAAATACATGCCAGGCTATAGAATAAGTAAGTGCATTCACAGTAACACCATCTCCTTCTCCCATGCTCAAGGAAACAAGTCGAAACACTATTATAAAATTAAGTGTAAGTCTACCCTTAATTTGTATTGTAAAAGTAAACTAATAACAAACTTAATCCAATTCCTAGATTTAACAAATTACCTGCTAAATATTTCATGACCATTCACTACTCTGAATTATAGGGGGATGATGTCACATGGGGAAAGTTAATGACACATGGGGGAGGGAGTGCTACTGGTACACAGTTGAAGAGAATTTACCTGAAAAATCTTATCAAGTAATCTTACAATGAATTTGAATAAAGCCAGATGCTAATCAGTGGCTCACCTGTACCACTAGAATAAAATAATTAATTTACTGCTCTGCTGATTCCTTAATATTAAAAGCCCTTTAACAGATTTCTAAAAATTGCTATATTTCATGTTCATATGGGAACCTACAATTCTAAGAACATGTTTCCAGAACCTTTTTTGGTGGGAGTTGGGAGGAACCGCTCAAAACAGACAGTAATTCTTTCTACCACATGTACTTTATCAAAACTTACTGCTAATTCCTCTGCCAATTTCAAAGGATTTGGAAAGACTCGAGTGGACCTGAGGGAACTGGAGAATCAGGCTAATCTAGAGATCCTCCAATGTTAAATCTTTCAGAATCAGATCCTTGGCACAAAGCCCGACAAACGCAAGGTGCAAACAGACACCAAGGAAGACTGATGTTTCCAAGTGGTAAGTTATTACTTGGGTTGTGAACAAATACCTCCCCATTAACAGTTCCTTAGAACACTATTCTAGAAACTTCCAGTTTTACCAAAGAATTTCCATTAAAACTGGTTATTTTTTGTTAAAAATAATAAAATCAGTATTGTCAAAGAAGTGTTGGTTGATACAAAGGGAAATTAAGAATGCCTTCTCTCTAGTCTGTTTTATACACTAGTTGAAGGCATGAAAACAGAGCTATAATATATTTGTGGTTTATTTAGAGAAACATTCTGGCAAATCAGCAATAAGTGTTACTTATTTGGAAATACTGATGTAACAGTAATTTTAAAAAAACAAAAACTACTTCAAGAATTCAAGTCAAATTTTCATTCCGAATAAAACTTCAATTAACACAAACAATTTGGGCTAGACTATTAAAACAGCCAAGCAGTAGGGAGACATTTAATGAATAAACTTCCCTGTTAACACTTTGCCTAAGTAGGCTTTTTCAGAGATACTGTGTTCTGGCTACATGAGACTGGCTTTGTTTCCTTCAATAAATTAGAGAAGGGAGAAAGGGGCAGGGAATGTGACAATCACACTTAATCCACACCAGGCTGCCATCTGCCACTTTTCGTCCTTTGCTGGCTCATTGATTATTCATGAATTCACTACCTGAAAAGTGCTATATTTATCTTTACAGCCACAAAGCTGTCAATTCAGTTTCAAGCAAGCCTGTCTTTGTTTTCAATGAAATGCAGTTTGCACAGAAAAAGGCCTCATGTATATGACACCGCCCTGTGCTATAATACAAATATTAAAAAAATCAAAAAAACAAACAAACAAACAAAACCACTGATATAAGTGAGTTTCCATGTTGGTCCCAGCCTGAGCCTTATTATTGTTTTTTTTTAAGACTGTCACATCAAAGAAAAATGAAGTAGTCTCAGCTTTTAGAGCCTCTGGCCTCCATGGATTTCCACAAAGACCCTGAATCCTGCTCCCTGTATTTTGTTATCAATGGTCTTACTGTTTCCTCTTCTTTTATTCTTTTATACATGCTTGTTTCTGGCAAATTTACTCTGCTATTAACTTACCTGCTTAAAGCTACCTGAGTTCCAAGCACTGCTTCCCTGGGATGCATTACATCAGCTCTAGCTCAAAATCTGTCCTAGAGTTTCCTTTTCCCAGACAGTCATCTCCATGAAAAATTTCACAGGTCATTCAAATTCCAACTTGTTTGCGAGCATCTAAAGAAGACATATTTTTAAAAAGTTATAAAAAGAGACACTCAGCTTTTATCACAACCAGACAAGAAGATAGGGAAAACAAGCTTGCCTAAAGACATTTTAAATGCTTTCTTGATGGCTGTAAGCTTAAAACTATCACCACAAATCCATCATATTTTTCTGGAGGGAGAAAGATCACAGGGAGAAGATAAATTAAAAATATACTTGTACCCTAAAAATTCCTTGACTAGTCTGAAGAATTAAAAAGCAAAGTGAAATCTACACTCCAAAATTACTGTCATTTAAAAGTTTTGATAATAAATATTGCCAAAAATGTAAATTGAATTTAACTTTCCCTAGGTGTGCTCAACAATAATTTTGACATGAAAGTTCAAAACAGGGGTGGCTGAGTGGCTCAGTCAGTTAAGTGTCTGCCTTTGGCTCAGGTCGTGATCCCAGTGTCCTGGGATCGAGCCCCATGTCACGCTTTCTGCTCAGCAGAAAGCCTGCTTCTCCCTCTCTCTGCCTGCCGCTCCCCCTGCTTGTGCTCTCTCTCTTTCTGTCAAATAAATAAATAAAAATATTTTTTAATAAAAGAAAGTCCAAAACATGTGATAAAGGTTAACAGTTAGTGACTGAGGGAAAAGACCTAATCCGAAGTAAAAATAGCCCTTCATAAATAGTGCCAACACGTGATGCATTCCTCCATGTTTTATTTCAATTTACCTTGTGAGGATCCCCAAACTTAAAAAGTTCTTTGTAACTCAAGAATGTTGTGATTAAGACCTATACCTCCATTAACAGAAAAATGAAGCCCTGATACTTCAGAACTCCACTATGATGTAGGAGTAGTCATCAAATTCCTAAAGTTATTAAAGCATGAGATCAATGTTTACGCCTAAGAAAACAAAAGAAAAAAAAAGGTTCAAATACAGGTTGAATGTTTTCATGATCTAAAAAAAAATTTAATTGCAGAGACTTATCCATGTCAGTGTATAATTGTTTAATAGGATTATCTGTTTCCAGAAGTTCCTAGCTTATTTGTTCTTGACCCAATGCATCACCCTTTGTTCAGTCAACCAGGATAAAAACTTGGGCCTCTTCTAGCACCCAGTTTCTATTAGTCAGGACTAGGTACGGCTGCATATAGCCGTCTACAACAAGAACAAAAACAGATACAGGGGTGCCTGGGTGGCTCAGTCGTTAAGCATCTGCCTTTGGCTCAGGTCATGATCCCGGGGTCCTGGGATCAAGCCCCGCATCGGGCTCCCTGCTCGGCGGGAAGCCTGCGTCTCCCTCTCCCTCTCCCCCTGCTTGTGTTCCCTCTCTAACTGTGTCTCTCTCTGTCAAATAAATAAAATCTTAAAAAAAAAAAAGCAATATGCCTAATAAAGAGTTCAAAGGAATGGTCATATAGACACTCACTGGACTTCAGAGAAGAGTGGGTAAACTCTGAGAATTCAACAAAGAGAATATCTAAAAAAGAGCCAGTTATAACTAAGGAATACAATAACTAAAATGAAAAATACACTAGAGGGAATCAACAGCAGCTTAAAGGATGAAGAAGAATGGATCAGTGATCTGGAAGGCAGGGTTCACCTCTGTGACAACATCAAGAATAGTAACATTCATATTTATTGGGGTCCCAGAAGGAGAAGAGAGAGAGAAGAGGCAGAAAATTTATTTGAAGAAATAGTATCTGACAACTTTCCTAATCTAGGGAAGGAAAGAGACATCCAGGCCCAGGAAGCAGAGAGAGACTCGAATAAGAGGAGCCCAAGGAGGTCAACACCAAGACACATAATAGTTAAAATGACAAAAATTAAAGAGATAATCTAAACACCAGCCAGAGAAAAGAAAATACATACAAGGGAAACCTCATAAGGCTATCAGGCAAATTTTCAGAAGAAACATTGCAGTCCAGAAGAAAGTAGCACAATATATTCAGAACATTGAAAGGAAAAGAAAACAAACTTCAGCCAAGAAAAATGCTACCTGCCAAAGATATCATTCAGAACTGAAGAAAAATAAAAGACTTTCCCAAACAAACAAAAGTTAAAAGTGAATTCATCATCACTAAACAGCCCTAACAAGAGATGTTAAAGGGAATTCTTTAAGTGGAAAGAAAAGTTCATAACTATAAATAAGAAGATTATGAAAGGAAAAAATTTCAGTGTTAAAAGCAAATACATAGTAAAAGTACCAACCATTTGCAAAATTAGTATTAAGGTTAAAACAAAAAAGTAAAATCAATTATATCTACAAATATTAGTCAAGGGATACACAAAATTAAAAAGTATAAAATATTACATCATAGACATAAAACATGGAGGGGGGAGTAAAAATATAGGCCTTCTAAATGTATTCAAACTTAAGCAACCATCAACTTAATATAGACTGCTATATGCACAAGATGCTATATACGACCTTCACGGTAACCTCAAACCAAAAACCTACACTACACACAAAAATAAAGAGAAACAAATCCAAGCATTAACACTAAAGAAAGCCATCAAACACAGGGGGAGAGAGCAAGAGACGAAGAAAGGGAAAGAAGAACTACAAGACTGACCAGAAAACAATTAACAAAATGGAAATAAGTACAAACCTATCAATAATTACTTTAAATCTAAATGGACCATATACTCTAATCAAAATACATGGGGTAACTGAATGGGTAAAAAAAAAACAAGATCCATTTATAAGCTGCCTGCCTACAAGAGACTCACTTCAGACCTAAAGACATATACAAATTAAAAGTGAAGGGATGGATATTCCATGCAAACAGAACAACAAAAGGCTAGGATAGCAATACTCACATCAGACAAAATAAACTTTAAAACAGAGACTGCAACAAGAGACAAAAAAGTTCGTAACATAACGATAAAAGAATCAATTCAATAAGAGAATATTACAACTATAACTATCTCTGCACCCAACACAGGAGCACCTAAATATATAATCCATGTGTTAACAGATAAAAAGGAAGAAACTGGCAGTAATCCGATAACAGTAAGGGATGTTAACACCCCACTTACATCAGGGATAGATCATCCAGATAGTAACACATTAAGGAAACAGTGGCTTTGAATGATATATTAAACCAGTTGGGGTTAACAGATAATAAAGAAGATCCCATCCAGAAACAGCAGAATACACAGTCTTTAAGGTAAACGTGGAACATGTTAGGCCATAAAACAAATCTCAATTAATGCAAGATGACTGAAATCATATCAAGCATCTTTTCCAACCACAATAGTATTTAGCTAAAAACCAATTACTAGGAAAAAGCTGGAAGAAACACAAACACATGTGGGCTAAATAAAATGTTACTAAACAGCCAATGGGTTCACAAAGAGATAGAGGAAATCAAAAAATACCTGGAGTCAAATGAAAATGTAAACACTATAGTTCAAAATCTTTGAGATGCAGCAAAAGTTTGTATCCTTCAGATAAATACCTACTAGTACAATAGCTGGGTCATAAGGTAGCTCTATTTTTAACATTTTGAGGAATCTCCATACTGTTTTCCAGAGGGGTTGCAGAAGTTTGCATTCCCACCAACAGCATAAGAGGATCCCTCTTTCCCGCATCCTCACCAATATTTGCTGTAGGTGACCACACCATCCATGCATCAACCAAACATCCATTGTTTCCAGACTTGTTAATTTTAGCCATTCTGATTGCTGTGAGATGGTATCTCATTGTGGTTTTGATTTGTACTTCCCTGACGCTGAGTGATGGTGAGCATTTTTTCATGTCTCGTTAGCCATTTGTATGTCTTCTTTGGAGAAATGTCTGTTCATTTCTTCTGCCCGTTTCCTTACTGGATTTTTTTATTTTTGGGGTGTTGAGTTTGATGAGTTCTTTATAGATTCTGGATACTAGCCATTTATCTGATAAGTCATTTGCAAATATCATCTTCCACTCCGATTTTCTCTTTCAACATTCCTTTGGCTATTTGGGTTTTTTTCTGGTTCCATACAAATTTTAGGATTGTTTCTTCCAGTTCTGTGAAAAATGTCGATTGTATTTTGATAGGGGTTGCATTGAATGCGTAGATTGCTTTCAGTAGCATACATGTTTTAACAGTATTTGTTCTTCCAATCTATGAGCAGGGAACGTTTTTCCGTTTTTTTTTTTGTGCCTTCCTCAATTTCTTTCATAAATGTTCTACAGACTTTAGAGCATGGATCTTTTACCTCTTTGTTAGGTTTATTCCTAGGTATCTTTTGGGTTTTAGTGCAATTGTAAATGGGATCGATTCCTTAATTTCTCTTTCTTCAGTCACACTGTTAAGTGTATAGAAATGCAACTGATTTCTGTGCATTGATTTTATATCCTGCCACTTAGCTGACTTGCTGTATCAATTCCAGCAATTTTTTGCTGGAGTCTTTTGGATTTTCTACATAGAGTATCTATCAAGAGTGAAAGTTTGACTTCTTCCTTGCCAGTATGGATGCATTTATTTCTTTTTGTTGTCTGATTGCTGAGGCTAGCTAGGACTTCCAGTACTTTGTTAAATAACAATGGTGAAAGTGGACATCCCTGTCATGTTCCTGTCTTCTGTTTTTCCCCCACTGAGGATGATATTCCCTGTGGGCTTTTCATATATGGCTTTTATGATATTGAGGTATGTTCCTTCTATCCCTACATGGCAGAGAGTTTCAATCAAGAAAGGATGCTGTATTTTGTCAAATGCTTTCTCTGCATCTATTGAGAGGACCATATGGTTCTTGTCCTTTCTTTTAATAATGTTGTGTAACATATTGATTTGTGGATGTTGAATCACCCTTGCAGCCCAGGAATAAATCCCATGTGGCCATGGTGAATAATCCTTTTAATGTATTGTTGGATCCTATTAGCTAGTATTTTGGTGAGAACTTTTGCATCCATGTTCTTCAGGGCTATTGGTCTGCAATTCTTTTTAGTGAGGTCTTTATCTGGCTTTGGGATCATGGCAATGCTGGCCCCATAGAATGAGTCTGGAAGTTTTCCTTCCATTTCTGTTTTTTGGAACA